AAGTCTTTATTTGTAACAATGTCACTAACGAAGGGAGAGAGAAAGAGAGAGAGAGAGAGAGAGAGAGAGAGAGAGAGAGAGAGAGAGAGAGAGAGAGAGAGAGAGAGAGAGAGAGAGAGAGAGAGAGAGAATCCAATAGAAAATTTAAATGCAAATTCACAATATGTAATTAATTGTAAAATAAGTCTCTAATTGTAAAAAATAATTACATTTGTTGTATGTATGATAAATAATTCATAGAAGTTAACAAAATGTTAAGTAATAGATATAGTTGAAGCCAATTATTTATCCATGAAAATTGAAGTGCACTTTTCCAATGCATAATTATGAATAACATTTAAACATTTATTTGTAACAAACTTTTTTTGCATATATTGTTTTAATGTGTATTCACAATTTCCTAAGATTGCAACTAATATATAAAGATTAAAGCTAATTAAACTACAGTACAATAAATGTTAAGACAATATCTCAAATAATGTGAAAATAAATTATTTTACCATTAATACAGTAATTAATGCAGCAGGTTTGAGCGGGAAAATTCCAGCTGCTCTGCTTTAATATATATATATATAGATACTAGTACGCGACCCGCGCGTTGCGCGGCCTGGCGTTAAAAATTAATTTGGGTGAATTTAATTTAAGATACATAAAACGTGTATAGAGTTAATAAAAAGTATGACAATATTTTATTTAATATATTTAGATATTCACTTGAATATAATCTTAGTAATCGATGAACTGTATTCATTATGACCATTGTTATAAATAATAATCATCAAACAGCTGTTATCGGTGACTCTAGAAATAACATATTATTGATTGTGAATATAAAATACCATATATTTTGATATAGCCATACTGCTGCATAACGGTTAAATAACCATAGCGGTTCGAAACTATCAAGTCGACTTCAACACAGTCGGCTCCGCCAGTAAGGTTCCACGACATTCAGTCAGGAATCTCGGCTCTCGACCGAGTCAACGTACACCCGTCGACTAGAATAAGTCGACCCCTGGCAAGACAACGATCAGACGTATCAGGGTCCAGTAATTGTCGAATACGATCTAGTCGACTCGACTCAATATCCCGGGTCGACCGAAGGAGTCTTGCGGTTCATGGTTCTTGATAGCTTTGACACACTTCAACGCATTGAGGAAGAGTTAAGGATAAGAAGGAAGCTAAGGAAGGATCTAGATGCTGACTAGGAAGTAGGCGGAATATGAACCGACCGGGGTATTCTGGACATTTCCCTTAAGTCGGCCAGGGCATTTTGGGGACTTCAGGTATATATTGTACTCTTATAAAAAGGACTGAGGTAATCCCAAAACCCTAACTCCCATTCATTCCATACATTTCTATTACTGCTGCTGCTCTGATAGCAGCTCCCATCATCTCTCTCACATACTGACTTGAGCGTCGGAGGCTCTACGCCGGAAAAACCCTCCGGCGTTGAGTTCTTGCAGGTGTTCGTACGATTCAGCAACGGCTCGAAGGTCATCAGGCCAGATCTAAGCTCGTTCATACCGGTTCATCCCAGATCCGGACGTTTTCTCACCAAACCGTTCCAGATCTGAGAGTAGACCCATCATATTTTTTTTAACGAAAAATGTTTTTCACAATAATGACATTTCTTGAAACTTCCTGGATAACAAAGATATTATTACTATTATATAGGTAAACTGGTATAAAATAATTGAAATAAACATGTAGAAATATGTTCCAATTGAAATTAAAAAATATAAATTAAATACTTAAGAAAACAAAAATGATTCAATTTTGAACTGCATGCATTTGCTTTCAGATTAGGTCTACATATTTTTCTCTCTTTTTTTTAATTATCTATATAAATTTAAGTAATTGATCTTTATTTATTTATTTTGCAAAATAAGTCTAATGCTGATCAAACTAACATGCAAGATAAATTACCTTTTGTAAACTTACAAACAGGTATAATAATCGGTAATGGTCATATCAATAACATATTTATTTATGTTTTTGTGTGCAACTCATGTATAATAAAATTTAATATAATTTTTGGAAATGAACCTTGATTGAATTTTCGTAAAATATTAAAATAGATACATTTAAAATACATTATATAACTTATAAGTGTGTATTATTTTGATAAACTAACATTTATGGTATATGATAAGAAAAAGGTAGTTGATGCATTACAGTAACCTTATTGAATTTTATTGCAACAATTTAGTAGCGATATTATACTCGCATCATTCTCTTAACAAAACATGTGTTATAATAACAAAAAATTAACAATAATTATCAAATTATGCCATTTTTATTCATAAAAAAATTACAGTTGCATAATTGTGAATAAATAAATAAACTAAAATAAGGGCAATCACTTTACTCACAAACATTTAAATGAATTCAGTTGTCGGTCTCAATAAACAAATGATATCGACTAAAAATAAATAAATTAAAAAAGTTATTTATTTTGGGCTCAAACAATTTAATCAGATAGAACTAAAATCAATATAAAAGGTCTTATATATTACAAAAAAATCAATTAAAAAATTGGATAATAAATATATATAGTCGTATTCATTCTTCCGAGTCAAAACTATATCATCACTATTTCTCTCTCATATTTTACGGTTGAGACTTGAGACTCTCTCACTCTTTCTATTACCATTTTTTTTTTGTTCTTTTACAATACAACTCCACAGTATTAGTCCATTTCTTACCCATAAATGAAACTAAATTCCAATATCATGTTCAAGAACTAAATCGTCTAATTTTTATTCTGTATACAAATTGTGTCAATATATGTCCATGTAAAAGTTGAAAAATAAAAGTACAAATGTATATATATGTCAAATTACTTTTTTCACTATATAATTTCATGATGATTTTTTTTCTATATATTTTCAAGTCATATTAAGGTAACATGAAGATGATAATTGTTAATGTATCGATCAATAGGCAACAGTTATTTTGCATTGAATTTATGATAATCATAGTTTAACTTATTTTGTTAGAAATACACATTGAGAGAATTTTTGCTAAACAATAAGAATAAATTAATGAGATTGTAATATATAGCTCTAAAATGATAATAAATAAATAAATAAATAAATAAAACTAACACATATGATATACGATAAAAATAAATAACATAGTTGTCGCATTTGTAGTGTGTCTTGCGGAACTTTATTTTTCGTAATATTTTGATAAACAATATATTCCCATCATTCTTATAAATAAAAATGAAACCGTCTAGCCTTTTTTTTTTCAGAAATTGTAATTGTATAATTATACACCAGTAAAAAAATTATAATAATATAAAAAAATGTATGAACATGTTTAGATGGCCTCTTCAAGATTTTGAA